TGTGAGAAACTGAAAGTGTAAATAAGGATTAAAATGATTAAAATGAATAATTGATAATTTGAAATAGGAAAAGTTCCAAAGGTGTAGGGGTGGTGGGAGGGGAAGGGGAAAGGGAAGAATACAAAGGAAAAATTATGAGAAAAGAAAAAAAATGGAAACAAAATCTATGTAAATAGGGAAGGGTGGAGGGGGTGAAGGTCCCACAGGTAATGGGGGAAAAGACAAACTAAGATACATCATGTACAGGTATGAGCACCCAATGATAAATGTAAATATGTTATATACCTAAAATATACCAATAAAAGAATTAAAAAGAAAAAAATTGATGTGATCCCATTTTTTATTTCTTGGTAATAGTTTTTTTTTTTTAATGCTACTGGGCTTTTGCTCAGAAAATCTTTGCCTGCACTGTCTTTAAGTGTTTTACCTTTTTGTCTTCCATGAGATTGTCTCTCTTCTAATGTTGAGATCTTTGATCCATTTTCATTATAATTTAGTATGGTGATAGATATGGATGTAGATTAAATGATTACCATGCATATAGTCAGATTTCCCAACACCACTTATTAAAGAGGCTTTTCATCCAGTGAAGGGATTTAGTCCCATCAAATATAACATAGCTGAGTGTGCATAGAGTTGTTTCTGCATCTTCTGTTCTGTTCCATTGATCTACAAGTCTGTTTCTTCCAATACTATGCTGTTTTTATCACTATAGCTTTGTAGTACAACTTATGTTTGGGACTGTGATGGCCCCTGCCCTGATCTTTTGACTCAGAATTGCAGATGCTTAACTTTGATAAGGCAAAAGTTTAGATAACTCAATTTCAGCCTTTTGCTGCACCATAATCATCCACAGATGTGCTTCTTGATTTGTCACAGATGTTACATTTAACATTATTTTCCCTTTTATTGGTATTTCCACTTTCATGTGTATCTTTGTTATAATATGAAGTGCTTAATTATGTGTTTAAATATAAAATCTAAGGCTGCATCCAAGGGCCAGTTACTCCAAACATGGGATAAATTTTCTGGTTGTTTAACATTAGGTAAGATATTTCCTGAATTCTGCATGCTGTATAAAAATATACCACCAACTGAGTTTTTAAAACAATAATTTTTGATATTTAACAGTTGTGGCTCAGAAAATGAAAAAGCATCTGCCTTCTAGTTTATCTGTGACTATCTGGCCAACATATACTCACATAGCAGAACAATGAAGTGATTGTCCTAAAATCTTGTGAGGCACTGACCTTATTCATCAGAAATCCACCTCAAGTTCTCATCTGAACATAATTGCATCCCAAAACAAACCTACTAATAATGTCACATTTATGATTCAGTTCTTATATCATGAATATTGGAGAGGCACATGATCATTCAATTCATAAATAGTATTGTACTGGATTGCAATATAACCACAGATTAAGTCTTTACCATAAAGACCTGTATGCTTTCTATGCAGGCATATGCCCAACAGTTACCAGAATGTTCTAGCCTTCATATTTGCCATAGAAGAGATCAACAAGAATCCACAAATTTTAGCCAACATATCTCTGGGATATGAGTTCCATAATTTCCTTTACAGTCACTGGAGGATGCTGGAGAATTCTCTCAGTATGCTCACTGGACAGAATGAGATCCCTAATTACTCCTGTAGGAGAGAGAGCAAGCCTGTAGCAGTGCTAACAGGAACATTATGGCCAACTTCTGCTCAAATCGGAACCCTGCTGGAGCTCTACAAGTTTCCACAGGTGAGGATGAGTGAGATGGAAAAAGATGAAATCATGTCTTTGTTGGTGATATTATTGGGTGCCTAAACAGGATAGAAGAAGGATCCCAGTTAAAATGCATCTTTACAAGTGTGTAATTTGAAGTGTTTAATTATACAGAGACTTGGTGGGTTGCTCAGAATTTTCTTCTCTACAGCAAAAAATATGGAGAGAAAAAACCAAAAATGGTTCTCCAAAATTTGTGACTGGTCAGATTTCTGCAAAGGTTTTGCACAGTGAGATAATTAGAAAGGCTCAATGAACAGGTATCTCCTTCTACCCTTTTCAGCTGTTTCTCAGCATTCTCCAGGAATGAGGTTTTGCTTTATGTCAATGGTCTTCTTTATATTCTTTCCTATTTCCTTTCCTTTTAGGTTACATTTGGTTCTTTCGATCCTATGCTAAGATACAGTGGACAATTTCCTTCGGTCTATCAGGTAGCCCCCAAGGATACATCTCTGGCCCTTGCTATGGTGTCCTTGATGCTTCATTTCAGCTGGACCTGGGTGGGACTGGTCATTATGGAAAGTCAGAAAGGTCTTCAGTTTCTCTCAGATGTGACAGGAGAGATGGATAGGAACAAAGTCTGTGTAGCCTTTGTGAAAATGGTCTCAACTCTTCTTGTGTCCTATGCCGCATTTGCAAAGGAACACATTATCCTGACCAAGGAAACATCACAAGTCAATGTGATTATCATTTACTATGACACTGATATTCTAAATGATGTAAACTATAGTATAGAGCAATATTTACTAACAGGAAAAGTCTGGGTCACAAACTCACAATGGCATGCTGACATGACTGGGAAAAATTTCATACTTAATTCATTCCATGGGACTCTCATTTTTTCAAACCACCATGAAAAAATTTTTGGTTTCAAAACCTTTGTCCAAGAAGCCAACCCTTCTAAATACCCAGACGACTTTTACCTCACTGTGTTTTGGTTCAATAATTTTCACTGCTCATTCTCTGATTCTGACTGTTCACTAAAGGACTGTACACCTAATGCCTCTCTGGCATGGCTGCCTGTGAGTCATTTTGATACAGCCATGACTGACAGGAGTCACAATGTGCACAATGCTGTATATGCTGTGGCCCATGCCCTGCATGAGATGCTTCTTCAACAAGCACAGTGGCCACCATTGGGAAACAAAGAAGTGATGGTGTTTGCCCCCTGGCAGGTAAATCATCTTTTTTTGTAATGGCATGCAATGTCATCAAGGTGCCTTTCTTAAGCTTTTACACTTGTGCTTCATCAGCGAAGTTTACAACACTTTATCTAAAAGAAGGAATGATTATATACTAGCTCATTATTAATCAGGTAAATCTTGTGCTGGTTAAAAATAGTCACTTGGCAAGAATGCCTTGCCATCAAAAAAATTATTATGAGACAAGATCATTGCTTTTGTCTAAAGCACCTCAGTGCCCACTTAGATAAATATTTATTATAAAACCTAAACATTTCCTGTCAACTTCTGAAGGACAACAGCAGACCATGTAATTCTTGGATTTAAATGGTGCTAAATCCTATATTAGATATATTATCTTAAATTTCTCACTTCATGCTGCAATTACTTTTGATAGTGAAAACTTCGTTGTACAAGTATACACTATGAGGACATTGAGAGACAAAATTGATGAAGCATGCCATACTAATTTTTTCTAAAACTCACGAAAACTTTACTTAAATAAGCTTGGGTAAAAATTTTTCTCTTGAGACTGACTTTTTAAAACAGTATGATATTTTGTCTTCCACCAGATTTTATTTATTCCAATTTAGTATATGTCAATATAAAATTTGCATTATTAAATTCAGATTAAAGATATTTAGGACTATTTCCTGTTCCATCATGTCTTGATCATGAAGCCCTGTTCACCAGAGCATGTGTCTCTTTTAGCTGCACCCTTTTCTGAAGAACATCCAATTTACCAATCCTGCTGGAGACCAAGTGAATTTGGATGACAGAAGGAAACTGGATGTAGAGTACAACATTCTCAACTTTTGGAATTTTCCAGAAGGCCTTAGATTTAAGGTCAAATTGGGAACATTTACCCCACATGTTCCACATGACCAACAGTTGTCCTTATCTGATGATATCATCGAGTGGGCTACAGGAATTATGGAGGCATGTTGGACATAATCATAATGCATTTCCAAAATATTGTTGTAGATTTGGTACCCCAAATTTTGCTCATGAGATGGGAAACTATGGGAATTAAAAATCTCAATTTTTAATTTTCTCATTTATTAGCTTTCCCATGAATTTGTATGGAACATATTTGTTTAATTATATTTTGTAAATATTCATACATTTTATATCATTAAATATGACATTTACACACATACATAGATATATTAATTTTTATATATGTATACAAGTTGTTTTACTTTCAAGCCCCAAAGGAGTGGTAAAATTCTAAGCACTCAACATAAATTTTTTCCTCAGACTCCCCGCTCCATATGCAGTGAGAGTTGTTATCCTGGATTCAGGAAATCCCCTCAGGAGGGAAAACTTGCCTGTTGTTTTGATTGCACTCCTTGCCCAGAGAATGAGATCACCAATGACACCGGTAAGAGCTTATCTTAGGGACAAATTCTCCATGTTCATTTTGTATTCATCCTTTTCATCCAGAAAGTGGAAAAAATCTTGCTGAGGACAGTAATGACAAAACATTTTCTTCTGTCAGGTGGACATTTATTTCAACTCATAACTATTATCCCCTTAAAGATGCATTCTCTGTCCCTTGTAATATACATACTCATAGATTCGTTTTTTCTTTCCTTTTTTATGTTTTTTTTCCCCTTTTAAAATTGGTGAAGATTGAACCAAGAGGTGCGGTCACCCTGAGCTGTATCTCCATCTCTTTCTTTTGTTATTTTGATAAAACTCTTGCAAATTTTCACCAGCTTGTCTCAGGTTACTGAGTAGTTGGGATACCAGGTACACAAAACTCTCCCCAGCTATTTTGATTTGTTTTCTAGACCCACTAAAAGCATTCTTTTCTCATGAGGACCCCTTTCTTCCAGCCCATAGTCTCTGAGTTCCATCTTCACTATGAAGCTTAACACAGAGTATTATTGAGCAATAGCTGTTCACATGATTGAAACCTCACTTTGATTACACTGGAGATGAGGCTCTAGCATATTATTACTCTTCAGGACCTAGCACTGATTTGGAAAGAAATCAGGTGCTCAGAGAGATCATGTTTGGCTTAAGACAGAGATATGTCTTTGGTGTACAACATGTCTAGAGTACAGAATGACACCTATTACTAGGATGTTATCCTTGCTGTCCTAGAGGTTGCACACCAGTAGGTGAAATAACACACACTATGAACCATAGTTTGTGCCACAGAGATGTAGGATGATGTGCATTCAGCCTAAGTGATTTAATGAGAGATGGTATCAGTATTTTGGGGAGAATGTCAGAGACATTTTATTTGGGCATTAATATTTTCCCTGATTTTTTTCCACAAAATGTGTCTCCAAATTTTCCTGTGTACAGAATATCATTGGATTATACGAGTGCTATAATCATCAGTGCATTAATCCTGTAATGAATCTATAGCTGCATATGCTATTAGGAGGGGGACTGGTCAGAAGAGGTGGTTCACAGTGGGTGTGACCTGGAAGAGCAAGTCTCCTTTCCAGGCTCTCTCTCTCTCTCTCTCTCTCTCTCTCCTCTCCTCCTCCCTCTTTCCCCTCACAGATGAGCAGCTGTCTTTTGTCTCGATCCTTCTGCCATAACATTTTTACTTTCTACTTTAAGTCCACTGACTATGGACTAAAATCTGAGGCTAAATAAACTTCTCCTCCTCTAAGCTGTCCATGTTGGGTGTTTAGTCCCATGAATGAAAAATGGACTCATTCAGTATTATACCAAAAGTAGGGCCACACAAATTTTTTTTAGGACTAGCAGAATTGTCATAAATGGCAAATTCCCTTTGTGTATTATCCAAAAGGCTGAAAATGAAATTCTGTGACTTTAAAACACAGATAATATGAGCACGAAGATTGAGAAACTGTATAGAAAAGTTACAGAATTCCAACACTGAAGAATTTTGCATACCATAAGTATGATTTTAGAGACACTTGAGTTGATGATAAATCATCACCTGGTAGAGTCACCTTTTTATTGAAGTTTCTAATATGCTTTTGTGGCTGACATGTGTTTAGATTTTGCAAACTACTTGGTATTATTTGAAATGTGCTTTGGACATATCTAGACTGGTGAAATACCTTATAGTTAATTTGGATATGTATTCTTTATAGAGTTTGAGAATATGGTGCTTTTCTGTAATTTTTTATGTGGACATATAGGGAATAGTGCATTCAGCAATATCAATTTGTTTATACTGCTGGTTTACAAATAGCAATTCTCAACAATTTGTTTCTAATACAATCATTTGAAATGCAAATTAATAAGCATCAGTACTTGAATATATGACTTATCAAATTTTGTGAGTTGAAGTTAAAACTATTCTTAGTGACAAATGCATATTTTATTTTATATATTCTTACATGCTACTAGGAATTATTCATGAAAGGCTGGAGTTCTGCACTGATATATTTTTATAAACCAGATAAAAAAGCATAAATTAAATCAAAAATTGAAATATAGGAAACAATGTAACAGGACTGCTTAAGAAATTAAAACACAAATAAAGAAATAAACAGAACTGAACAAGGTCCTGAGTCACGTGGAAGATGCCAAATCACCCCGCTGCAGACAGGCAGGTGTGCCCATGCCCTATCTAGGTCCTGAGTCACACAGAACATGCCAAATCAGCCCGCTGCAGACAGGCAGGTCTGTGCACACACTACCGAGGTCCTGAGTCGTGCACAAGACACCGAATAACCCCACTGGAGACAGGCAGCCACCTGGTTCCACACTACAAAGATGCAGAGAACACCAGACCACCAGACCAAGGTACTGAGTCCCACTGTTCCCAGCCCAGAGGTAGGGGCTTCTGAGCCCTCATCCCACTGCTCCTGGTCCAGAGGAAGGGGCTTCCTGGTCACCCTCCCTCCTGCTGCTCCCAGCCCAGAGGAAAGGCCTTTTGGGCCACCTTCTGTCCCACTGCTCCTAGCCCAGAGGAAGGGGCTTCTGAGCCACCATCCCACTGTTCCTGGTCCAGAGGAAGGGGTTTCCCAGCCACCATCCCTATGGCTGCTCTCAGCCCACAGGAAACGGTTTTAGTATCACCATTCCCACCACTGCTCCCAGCCCCTGTCCCACCTCACCCAGCTCAGAGGAGGTAATCTGTTCAGGTGCTAAAAGCCCCCCAACCCAGCCAAAATGAGAAAGCACGTAAATAAGTCTCAAAACCAGATTTCCAGATCACCTACAGCAAACCCAAAGGAAAATGGGATGGAACACTCTGATACTCACCCACCTGGACCCACAGAACTGGCAACAAAAGGGGATTTGGAAAAAATGAAATCAGAAATAATTTCTCAGATAACAGGAGAAATTGTGCCCTGAGTGCAAGACATGATTAATAAATCTAGAGAGGAGCTCAGGAACATGATGGAATCCCAACATAAGAAACAAATGGTTGGGCCGGGGATTTAGCTCAGTGGTTTCGCTGCCTGCTGCGCAAGCGCAAGGCCCCGAGTTCGATCCCTGGTAACAACAACAACAACAAAAGAAACAAATGGAATCCATAAAACAGATGCAAATAGATTTCCAGGACATGAAAAACTCCATTGAAAGTCTACACAGCAGAATGAGCCAATG